GAACCAGGAGGCCTGTTCTCTTCCTCACCGTTCACGGGTAAAGAGCTTATCAGCCAGGAAGCTCTAAACTCTCCAGCCAGTACGGCCTCGGCCTCACGTTGCTTAGAGGCAGCAAGTTGACCTGTGGTATGAAGGCGCAAGGATCCCTCCGTTTACCCTGAGGATAGGCATCTTGTCCAGAGCACAGTTGAAGGCCCTGGAGTGCAGTCTGGCCTGTTCTCCTTTCGTGGCGTCAGTAGCAGTTCTGATCCTATTTGCTTTCATCTGCATCTTCTCGTGGGCTCTTGCGCCCGGACCGGGGCCAGATGAAGGCTGTGTGTGACAAGCATGGCGTGTTTTAGCCTCCTGAACCCAGAATTCTAGCTCCTCTTCTAGCACTGACCGGTCTTGTGATTGTGGCTTTGGTGGCTGTCAGGTAGCAGTGGGAGAATGGTTGGCCCTGTGCCGGGCACACAGTAGGTGTTTAGTAGAGTTGGATGCTATATGGTGGCCGCCACTTACTGTGCACATACTGTGCGCTGTGCATCGAGCCTCGTCCTGTTTGTCCTAATAAACTTTGTGGAAAAAAAACTTAGATTTACAGAAAAGTTGCAAGGATAGTATCGAGTTCCAGTGTACTCCTAAGAAACAGCATAGATGCATTCCTATTAACCAAACTTTATTTGGGTCCCACCAGTTTTCCTCTTTTGATCTGGGATAACGCTTTGCCCATTGCTGTCTTGTCTCCCACTGTCTGGCCTGTGCTGGTTTCTTGGTCTTCCCCATTTCTTGACAGACTTGAGGAGTTGAGCCCTGTGGACAGGCTTCATATGGTCACAGTAGCCCGGTGAGAAGACAGAATCATTTCAGAGATGGGGAAATTGACGGGGTAAAGGTGCCCATGACCTCAGCTGGGGAGAGTGCCCAAGGTAGCGCTAACCTGCGTCTGACTGTATCTGTAGCTCTGCCCCTGGAGTCCTCTCTTTCCCTCTGCCATGTGTTGGTATGGACTGGCATGGAAGATACCTGGTGCTGACCTGGCCCTTCGTGGGCACTGCCAACCCAGCGTGTCTCTATCCGCAGTGAGCTTGGATCAGCTGCAGAACTCTTTGCCACAGAGGCAGCCAGCCGGTCGCTGCTGCTGGGAGCCACCTTGTCTGCCTCCCCAGGGCCTGGGAGCAGGGTGCTTAGCTGTGGAAGTATGAGGGGACCAAAGAGCATGCTGGGAACTTCCATCGGCCTGGATTCTCCTCTCAGTGTGGATCAGGCTGCTTTGGAATTGGGGAAGCAACCTCAGGAGGTGGCCAGTCCTGTCCGTCCGCCCCTCCAGCCTGACAGTGAACTCCATCCTCAGCCAAGGACCTTTGTGGGGTTCCACTGCCTCCTGATCATGACCTTCGTCCAGTGCCCCTAGCCTGTCAGCCTTCCCGTAGCCCAGAGAGCCTCAGGCTCGGTTCTTTGCACTCATAGGTGTGGCTCCTCATCCCACTTGTGTTCAGCGTGAGTCCTAGGGCATCTTGTTCTCCATGTCTTCTGTTCCTTTCTTTTGTCATGCACAGTTCCCGGTGGGTGATGTTTATTTACATCAGACTGTAAGCTCCAGGAGGCAGGGAAGGAACTGTGTCTTAATTGCTTGTCCTGACACATCCCGAAACCCGTGTGATTGTCGCTTCCTAAATATTTGCAGAATGACTGTTGAAGGAACTATTTGCTGGTTCCTGCCCCAACCTGCCTTAATCTTAGTCATATTGACCTTCATTCCGAGGATTAGAAAGCCATTCCAACAAGCACCAGTAAAGGGGAAGTGTAACCAGTGTGCGGGGAATCTCCGGAGCTAATGACAGGAGGCAGAGGCTGGGTGTTTCCTGGCTGTCTCTTTAGTGAGCCAACTCATGCTTTGTACCTGGCGCCGTGTGTGAGCTCTGCACGTGTGCTCTCACTCTTGGGACAGCCCCAACAGGAAGGGAGAGATGCCTCCACTTAGATGTGGATGAGCAGGGTGTGTGCATGCATCTATAATTCCAGCACTGAGGGAGGCTGAGGCAGGAGGGTCACAAGTTTGAATTTCACCTGGGCAGTTTAGTGAGACTGTATTTCAAAGTAAAAAAATAAAAAGGGCTGGGGATGGGGAAATGGTACCCCAGTGTCCCCCCTCCCCCAGAAAAGAGCTGGGGATGTAGCTCCGTGGTAGAGCACTTGGCTAGGATATGTGAGGCCATGAGTTTTATCTCTGGCACTTGAGGCAGGAGGGTCACAAGTTTGAATTTCACCTGGGCAGTTTAGTGAGACTGTATTTCAAAGTAAAAAAATAAAAAGGGCTGGGGATGGGGAAATGGTACCCCAGTGTCCCCCCTCCCCCAGAAAAGAGCTGGGGATGTAGCTCCGTGGTAGAGCACTTGGCTAGGATATGTGAGGCCATGAGTTTTATCTCTGGCACTATAATGTAGTGAGTCAGAGGTCAGCCTGGCCTACGTACTGGTAGTGAGTTGAAGGCCAGCCTGAACTCCGTAGTGAGGCCCTGTCTCAAAAGGAATGAAAAAAATGTCGACATGTCTCCAAATGGGTCACCAACCCAAGAATTGCACGGTCATTGTGGCTGAGCTGTGACTCCAGCCCAGGTCTGTTTGAGTCCAGCCTGACTCACTTGCCTGTGTGCGCCCCCAGCCACGTCCTTGCTGCACCTGTGCGGCTTCTGTAGGTCGGGTGAGTGACTCCATGTTGCTTTTCTGTAGAATCGCAGAGCTCTTAGTTCTTGTCCCTTCTCCAGTTTTGGATCAGTCGCAGTCACAAGTCCAGCTGCTGCAGCACTGACCCAAAGTTTACAACCCCAGATGGCACTGGGCCCAAGTCCTGGGGGCCATGCCGCCTCTCGTGCCCTAATCCCAATGCTGCTGAGAGTCTCTCTTGGGTTAGGTGCTTTTGTTTCTCCCCGTCCTCCTTTTTTTTTTGGCAGTGTTGGGGACTGAACTGGGTTTCTCTCCTGATCCAGTTATCTTTGGGTGATGGGGTCAGCTTTGGGGTGTGGGTGGTGGGACTGCTGAGCATTTTGGGGGGCTGGAAGAGGTGTGGGGGGTTGGAAGAGTCGAGGGCAATGTTAAAGATTGCAAGGTCCTGTGGAAATGAGTGGGTGGTCCCACAGGCTTGGACAAGGTGGTGATGGGCTTGGGAAGAGGAGGCAGCTCCTTGGGGAGTGGTGGGGACACGGCATGTGTGCTGGTGGGATGAGGGAGACCCCACTGGAGGTCTCTGTGTGTGTCCTGTCTCCTCCAGGGCAGGCCTCGGGATGCTACTGTTTCCCACTGTGCTGCGTGCTCCTTGTTATTCCTGGCTCTGGACTGGAGGTGCCATATGATGGGGCCATGGACAGTGGTCCCCCAGGAGCTGGTGCTCTAGTGGGGTCCTGGGCTGGCTGGAGAGCAGTGAGGAGATCAGAGAAGGAAGCTGGGAGAAAGACTGGTCCCTGTGTTGCTTAAACTTTTCAGTTTAAGGCACACTTGTGGGAGATGGTGTCTTTTGTCTCTTAGTTTAGCCCTGCCTGTAAAGCAGGCAGGACAGGTGTGATCTCAAGTATAACATGAAGGGTTCCCCTGGGACAGGGAGGGACGCGTCACACCACCAGGAACCTGTTCTGTTGATGTTTCTGACCCGACATGGCCCCTTTTGTGAAACTTCTGTTTTGTTCCCTTCTCTTGCTGCTTGATCTGCTCCAGCCTTCCCCGCTTGGCAGTTTTTCCTGGGATAACTGTGACGAAGGGAAGGACCCTGCAGTGATCAAAAGCCTGACTGTGGAACCTGACCCCATTGTCATTCCTGGGAACATGACTGTCAGCACAGAGGGCAAGACCAGCGTCTCCCTCAGGTCTCCTCTGCAGGTAAGCAGGGCGGGTGGGAGAGCGGTGGTATGGGGCCCAGCAGGGGGCCTGAGACTCGGAGAAGTCGGAGTCAGAGAAGTTAGAATCCTGATGTCCCATGGCAGCAAAAGATGGGTAGATCTAGAGACCCACTTGGGCTCAGATGGCAGGATGGTAGGATTAAAGGAACCGCAGATGTCAGCTCCAACAGCCTGATGAGGGGCTGACACCCGGTGCCTGTCAAGGCCACCCCAGCCTTTTCAGATGCGGTAGCCTATTCTTGTTGCTAGTTGTTGTTGTTAATTGTAAAACAGACACATCGATTAGACAGTCATGTGGAGTCACTTTAGAAGGCACATAGGGAAAGAAAATAAATCACCTGAAATCCCACAGCCTAGCGATTCGAGACAAACACTTTGAACATCTTATAGGGTATTCTCTGCAGCTTTTCCCCCGTACAGTCTCATCCGGAATATACAGACATTTTTAATAGCTGTATATGAAAGGAGGCAGTGCTTCTTAGAGAGGGCCTCTGGCAGCCTTCTCCTGAAGGGTAGTCAGTATTAGCTATTTATCATGCCAGAATTTTTATGTGCTTATAAATACAGTATTTGTATTTATATTAATGGGACTATATGACATGTGCTTCTGAACTTGCTTTTTATTTAGCAGCACACTCGGTATTCTATATCTATATGGGATTTAGTATAGAACCACCTAAAATTTTTTAATGGCAGAAATATCCTGTTGTGGATCTTTATATTTTATATAAAAAAATCTATTGCTGGATGTTGTTTGTTTCCAGGGTGGTTTTTGTGTATTTATTTTGGTTTGGGAAGGATTTTTTTGACTATTAAAATCGTCTTTGTAGAAATTATCCTTATTAGGCATCTTTTATACTTTTCTGATTATCTAGATGCATATTTTTTAGGTCTGTTTTGCTTTTTACACTGAAGACAACCCAGGGCCTTATGCATGCTGGGCAGGTGCTCTGCCACTGAGCTGTACCGCCAGCCCCACACACACCTTCAGACATATATTGCAAAATTGCAGCCCTTTGTTTCAGGCGAATTACTTCTGAACAATAGCGGGTTTTCCTTTCCCACATTTGTCAACTCTGAGCATGTTCTAAAAATCTTTGCCAGTCCTTTGTGCTATCCTAGTGAACTCAGGTATCTGTTCATGAGTTTAGCCTTTTGTATTTACTTGGGAATAACCAGTTTTTCTCTATTGCCTATTCTTTGCAGAATAATAAGGGCTTTCAGTGTATCCATTGCAACATCACTTATTGCAGTCCTATGCTCTACTTAGAATCACCACATTTCTAGGATATTCTTATATGCCCTGCAGTCTGTTCTGCCTCCCTATTTACTCTGGAACCCACTTTTCTTCTTAATTATTGAGAGGAGTTCTGATGTGAAATCTGTGTTCCTGAAACTAGCTGTAGGCTTGGTGCAGTCCCAGTCCCTACCTCCCAGGCCTGGCTTGCACAGTGCCTGAGTCAATCAGTAACGTGGGAAGTGCCCTGCACAGGCCTGGCACACAGGACTCGCGCAGTCACCATGCCCCGGCTTTCCGCTCCCCTATGATTCCTCGAGTCTTCTCTGGACTGGGCGCCTGCAGTTTTTTCAGCCAGCCTCACCACACCTCCCTATTTTCTGCCCTTTCTTGACCCTGGAATGCTGCACCACCTGTAGGATTCCAGGAAAGCCCATCCTGGAGCCAGCATGGAAGCAGGAAGCAAGCATATCCTGTCTTCTGCCCCAGCTGCTTTTCCTGCTTTCCTGTTTTATTGGCCATCATGATGGATTTTACCCCCGGTCCTTTCCTATTGCTTTGTCACCTATAGATTTGGGCCACATTTTCTTTATTCTCACTTGTGCTTAGTACTAATGGGCCTTAGATTCCCCTGGGCCCCATCCTTTCACATTTCTTGTTTGTTTGGATTTGTGGTTTAATTCTTTCCTCTTCTCAGGCCACCTATTGGACATAAGCCCCTCTGATGGCTTGTTTGGGAGGGGTTGATTCGTGGTGATCATGAGGCCCCTGAGCTCCAGCAGCTGGGGAGTGGAGGAGCAGCTGTGGGTGCGGCTCCAGCCCTCTCCCCTCACCTGCAGACCCCCAAGGGCCACTGTCCGCCCTGAGCACTGTGGTCTGCGTCTTCACCGCTCATACTGCGCAGGCAGCCTGTTAGATCCTCTCCCTCTCACCTTGTCCAAGGGAAATGTCCTTAGTCAGAAGTGCCATCTGGCTCTGTGCTGCAGAGTTTTCAAAGTTGTGATTCCCAGATCCCATGAGCTGCAGGCGAGGCTGAGGCCAGCTCAGGAGCTCTCCATCTTCTGGCTCCTCCACAGGACTGGGTGTATTTCTAATTCCCACGTGCCAGGGCCCCTTCCAGTTGCAGCCTGTGCAGCCCTGGTCGTCCCACCTCCAGGAATTGTCCTTTGTCCCTGGTTTACATGCTTACATATTGGGGTTTCTGGCCTGATGGGCGTCCTCCTTTTCCCCTCCAAGTCACACATTTGCAGGGCTTCCTGCCTGGGGCCTCTGACACATCCGGTCTATTCAAAGGCTGCCCTCAAAGGCAGTGGATCTTTATCAAGAGCTTTCTGTGTGCCCAGCTCTGTGATGGCTCCAAGAGAAGAAGCCATTATTTCCCAGACTGCAGAGAGCTTCTGTTCATAGGATGTCACTGGCAGATCTCCCTGCAGTCACGAGATCCACATGTCTCAGTATCAGGACTGTGGTGCGGAGGCCTCCGGGATGGTGGGGCTTGCCGAGGGGCTGAGCAGGTATGTGCCAGTCTGAGACTGGAGCCCGGGACCCTCCTGTGGATGCTTCTGTCTGTCGGGAGAGTTGATTTAGTTGTGCTATGAAGTGCCAAAGAAGCCTGGAGTGGAGGGGTAGGTGATGCCTTGTTGCTGAGCTCTGCTTGTTTCTCCAGTCCCTGTTAGCAAGGAGACTGAGAACAGGAAGTGGACCCTGGTTAGTCATTCCCGCACAGTAGTCCGAGCTGGCTGTGGTCTTCAGCGGTGCACCTCCTGTGCCCTGCTAGTCTGGGGTGAGGACAGCAGTGAGCGAGGCCCCGCTCTTTCTGGGAGACGCCCCACCCTGTTCCCCCTCGCTGGGAGTTGTCCTTCATGGATGTAGCTGGCTCAGGTATTTTCTTCGAGGTACTGGGGAAACGAGGAGTGGGTGTCAGCTGAGGGACAAGCTGGCCTGGGGACATTTGTGCATTCCTGGCACTGTGCCACATGCCAGGCGGTGGGCCCTGGTGAGAGGTAGGCACCAACACACTCCACCTTGGGGGCTGGGGTGCAGACTGTGGGAAGTGGAGAGCTCGCCTTTATTCCAGCCCTCTGCCTGGTCCTCACAGGCTTGGCAGCAGGGAGGTGGGGCACGTGGGAGCTCTGGGCAATGGGTGGGTGGTGGATGCATCAGCAGACGAGGCCAGTAGGGAAGCAGCCCGAACCCACCATATAGGACCCAGGGGTGCTGACTTCCCCTTCTCTCGGGGACTGGTGGAAAACACCAATGCCCTGATGTTGGGGCACCTAGAAGACTCTGGTTCACAGCCCAGGGAACCAGCATGAGCCCAGCAGCCTCTGGGAGTAAGGGTTTGTCTCTTAGAAACAAAACTTGAAATAAGGTGAGCCTCGAGGCTGGGGTTCATGGCAGGCCAGGGGTTGGAGCCTGAGCTGCAGGACCCTAACAGCGTGGCCTCCTGTCACAGTGATGTGTGGGAGAACTGACTTGGGTGGCGCAGTTCTAAGGGACAGCTTATTCGGCAGAGGCTGCCCCTTCAGTGCTCAGCCTGCGCCAGGTACAGCTGGGCAGTCTGCCTTGGACCTGGCTCTTCGCAGTCTGCTCCACCCTGCAGACCAGGAGGACCCGGCAGCCTGGAGGTGTGATGTGCCTTCAGATCTTCCCGCATAGCTTCCCTCAGGGTCGGGGCCATGTTGTAGTGGCCCCTGTTGTAGGAGCCTGCACTTCCAGAGGAGGTTCCATTGGTGTCGCCTGGCTGTCATCAAGACCTCAGACGAACCTTCCGGTGATCACCCTGTAAATCCCCATTCTTCTTCATTCTGCCTTCTGTAGCTACATAGAAAAAACTGGATCCAGGGAGAGTCAAGGGTCTCAGGTTGGTAACCAGCTCCAGTGAGTGGCCAGAGGTCGTGGGAAGGCCAAGGCAGAAGGTGGTTGTAGTGAAGACTGGACCGAGAGCAAAGCCCAGAAATGGCCAGTTGACCACTTGGTGGGGTTTCAGTGCGACTGTCAGCTCTGGTCAGCAGGTGGTAACAACCCCAGAATTCAGACTGCATGCGCTTCGGTGAGGGGAAATTCATGCCTGATCCTCAGTGTCGCCGTAGGCACATGCTGCTGCGTTGTCACTCAGAGTCACGCTATCACAGGAGCCATCCAGTTACAGCCCATGATTACAACTTCATACTGACCTTTACAGGAATCAGGGGAGCAGTTATGCTCGCTCTGGAATTTACATTTATTACTTTCACAAATCTCTCTCCCAGGTGGAGCTAACAGTGGAGAGGGAGGTGGCCGGACTATGGATCAAGATCCCGTGTGTGGAGAAACTTGGCAGCTGTACCTATGAGGACATCTGTAACATGCTCACCACTTACATTCCCCCTGGGGAACCCTGCCCGGAGCCCCTGCACACCTACGGGCTTCCCTGCCACTGTCCCTTCAAAGAAGTAAGGCCCTGGGGGCAGGGCACCTTTCCCTGTGGCTAATGAGGGGTTTGCAGAAGGGCCCTGCAGCCTCCTGCAGATTGGCTGTCTGCAGCTCTGGGAGAATCACTCATCTTTTGGGCACCTCAGTTTAGCCATCATGAAATGCGAGCCTTAGGTGTGACCTCAGGGACACAGTGCCTGATGGCGGGTGCCATGGTAAGCTGTAACTGTGTGGCCCTCCGGAGCGTGGGAGGAGGGGTTGTTCATGGCTGCAGCCAGGGGCGGCTCCCGGGAAGAGGCCCCATCACCAGGCTCCTGCCCCAGGCGCCCTTCCTTCCCACAGGGCACCTACTCGCTACCCAGAAGTGACTTCACGGTGCCTGAGCTGGAGCTGCCTGGCTGGCTCAGCAGCGGGAACTACCGAGTCCAGAGCATCTTGAGCAGCGGTGGGAAGCGGCTGGGCTGTGTCAAGATCTCGGCCTCACTGAAGGGCAAATAACGTGGCATTCGCCTCAGCCAAGCGAGGGGATGGGAAGGCCCCACCCCCACTGCACTGCCCTCTGTGGGACTCTGCCGCTCACTGGAATCCACCGTGAGCCACTTAGGTTTCCGGCTGGGGCCAGCTGCGAGGGGCCATTCTGGGGAGTCCCATCCCTTTTTCCCACTGGGTGACGCTCTCTGAGCTTCTGTCATTTCCAGAGTCGTTAAGGGACAGAAGCCACTGTGCCCGGGACCTTCAGTTCTACTGACCCCATCCTGGCCTCTGTCTGACTTCCTGCTTGCTGTTGATGATTTAAAAGTGCCAGTATTAATATTTTTCTTTTCTCCAAACCCCTCCTGCATTGAAGGGGCTGAAGTAGTTGTCTGTTCCTCCATTAATTTTTGCAATTCAGTTTGCATTCATTCCATGGTTTGTGTGGTCAATGCCAGGGCCGGGTGTGTGCTGCAGGTGCCTTGCAGAAATTAATTACCTTAAGAATGCTGTAGGTGCTTAAGATCAATTACAGACTCAAGTGCCTGCAGGGCCAAGCAAAATTAGGAACCAGTAGAAACAGTGGGCTTCTGGGCATGACCTCCACTCTTACTTCTTTAATAAAGTTAACAGATCCCTAAGGATTCCTTATGCTGTAAGACAAGTCAGGCTGTGCACTGATACGAGCGAGCCAACAGTCCACCTCCTGTCCAGGTTTTCCATGTCCCCGGCTGCGCCATGGAAGAGTGTTATGGGACCCGTGTTTGTAGAGTCCCCATTTTGCTCCCTAGAGAGGCCAAAACCCAGATTTTTATGTGAAATCTTACAATTTTTAAATATTGGCAGCTCGTTATCTTTTTATACATTGTACAGCTGAAGATTTGTCTGTGTTGTCTGGTTCCTGTGGGCCCAAGATCACAGGCCCTGTCCTTTCGGTTTCCAGGCATCTCCTCCGCCAGCCTCTCCCTGTGTCGGCCAGACTGGGTCGGCAATTGTGTGGGTAGTGAGACCTGGGGTGGAGGGATGGATCCCTTGCCAGCTACCCGGCCCTGTTCACTGTCCTGTTGTGCACGACAACCTCCTGAGCCACAGAGAGCCCTGAGTTCCGGACTCATTTGGAGCAATAAACCTGTTTAACTTGCTGAGAAGTCCTCTGGGGTCTTGGCTGCATTTCTCATTGGTCACGTTTGGGGGTTTGGGGTGGGTGTGCCGTGGGTGCTCCTGTGGGGAGGATCCAGGGCAGTGGCACAGGGGCGAGCTCTTCTGCTGCTGCCCCCTCTGCTTCGTTCTCGTCACTGCCCACCTTCCTAGATGCGCTGTGGTGGTTTCCATTGCTGTGACCTCGGCTTTCTCCTCTGCAGCCTGCAGCCTGCAGCCCCACTTCACCCGCTTTCTAGTTCACACACGACACAATCTCACGAGCTTGGGTAATCTTTATGTCTGTGGTGCCAATGGCTCCAGTGTTCCCTGAGTTCTGGGAGTGTGGGTGGGAAGTCAAAGGTAGCACCGTCAATCACAGAGCAGAGTGCAGTTTCTAATTAATGCTGCTCAACAGGAAAGCCATTTTGGGAAAGCTGAAATGAGGCCCATGCAATGAGCTCCCAAATGGGACTCTTGTGTGATACGAGCACACTAGCGGCGTGCTCCCAAACGGATCCAAGACCTAAATACGAGACAAAGAAGCCATGCAAATATTCAAAGAAAACATGGCTGAAAATTCAGTTTTAGTAAGAGGTTAATAAACTTGATTACATAAAGAAGGGGAAAACTGCTTGGCAAAAAATGTAAACTGAAAAACTTGGAGGAGATATTTGCAGCACAGATTTTAGATGGTTAATACTCCTCTTATTATAGAATTAAGGGGCAAAGGATCAAAAGTGTGATAGAAAAATTAGAAAAAGACAGGGACATGATTCAAAGATAAAGTGATAGAAGAAATATCCAAACTGGTGATTAGGGAAATGCAAATTGAGATTATAGTGAGATGCTACAGATCATCTAAAAAGCACAACCACACCTTCTGAGGCTACTGAGCAGCAGGTGCTGCCTGTCAGGGGTGCAAATGGGTACCACGTGTTGGGTTTCATTTCCTTTTTGCTTTCCTATTTTGAGGGTGGTGATGATACTGCAGATCAAAACCAGGGTGCTCTATCCCTGAGCTACATCCAGCCCTTTTTATTTTTATTTTGAGACAGGGTCTTGCTAAGTTGCTCAGGTAGAGCTTGAGTTTGTGATCCTCCTGCCTCAGCCTCCCACAATGCTGGGATTCCAGGTAAGCAGCACCATGCCCAGCTTACAGTTTGCTTCTTCCATCCGCCAGAGGCCTGTATGTTGGTGTGGTCACCGACCTGTGGAACTACTGGGAGGTGGTGGGACTTGAGGAGGTGAGGCCTGGGAGAGGAAGTTAAATCCCTGGGGGTGCTGTGGAGGGGGATGTGAGGAGTCCAGCACCTTCCTGTTTCTCTCTTGGCTCCCTGCCTACAATGAGGTGAACAGGGGTTTTCCACTACATGTTCCTGCCATGATGTCCTGTGCTCACAGCAGGCTCAAAGCAACAAGGCCAAGTGGCCCTGGAATGAAACCTCTCTAACTAAGAATACTGTGCAGCCCAGGCTGGCCTTGAACTCATGGGGATCCTTCTGCCTCAGCCTCCTGAGTGCTGGGATTATGGATGTGTTCCTCCTTTTGGGGTAATTATTCAGTTTTGTCACAAAGATGGGAAGCTGATGATGGCCTCTGGAGGGGCCTCCATCAGTGCAGCTGTCCCTTGGAACCCTTGGAAACCCAGATCTGCAGGTGCGCAAATCCCTTACATGAACGGGCATATTTGGTATCATGTACAGTGCCCTGTGGAGCTGATCTTATTTTTTTGTTTTTAATTATTTAAAATTTTTAATTTAAATGTATTTTACTTGATAAGAAAAACTGCATTATTTATGGGTGATGTGATTTTTGATACAGGTATACACAGTGTAATGTTTAAATCAAATTAGATATACCTGTTTATGGGAAAACATTCCAAGTCCTTTCTTCCAGCTTTGTGAAGCACATGGGACCCGATCTGTAGCCACTGTATTGTGCAGTGGCAGGCCAGACCTTCTCAGTCCTTTCCAAGTGTAGCCTTGCACCCCACTTTCCTGCCCCCAGCCTCTGGTAGCCACCCTTCTGTGCTTACCTGTGTACATGAGTGAGACCATGTGGCCCTTGTCATTCTGTGCCTCTTCTGCATATCGGGAATTAACTGGATTACTTGTACCTAAAATACATGTAATGTTAGGTAAGTAGTATCTGTACCACATTGTTTTAGGGAATAATGACAGAATCTGTACATGTGTGGTAAAATGCAGTTTTTGGAGGTACTTGGGATTATACTCAAGGCCTTCTCACTGAGCTGCAGCCCCAGACCTTTTTTTCTGAGGCGGGATCTCACTGAGCTACTAAGTTGCTCAAGTTGGGCTTGAACTTGTGATCTTCCTGCTTCAGCTGCCCAGAGTTCTAGGATTATAGCTGGGCATCGTCATGCCTGTTGCAATTTTCGTTTCCTTTTTTCAGAAAAGTTTTGATTGGCAATTGGTTAAGTCCCTGAATGCAGAACCCATGGACACAGAGGACTGATTCTACTAAAAAGAAAAAGAAAAAGAAAAAAAAAAACCTACAAAAACATGTATCTTTCCACAGAGACATCTCTAACATAAATAGCATGTATGCATAGACTATGCACTGCAACACTGTGACCTGAAATTATAGTGGATGCCGGAACAAACCATGACATATCCCACGATGCAGTTCTCCTAAGCTATGACACAGATCTCTGTGAACTGATAGGGGTTCTTTTCAGGATATAATGTTCAGTGCAAAAATGTAAGTACAAAAAAATATAGTGTTCTACATTTCATGGAAGAAAAAAGGAGATATAAGAAAAGACATGTACCTGCTTCTGTGTGCGAAATAAATATCGAAAGCTTTGCTGGGGATTTAGCTTAGCAGTGCTGCCGCCTGCCTCTCAAGCACAAGGTCCTGAGTTCAATCCTCAGTACAAAAAAAAAAAAGAGGAAAGATTTGCCTGAGGTTAAATAAGCGTGATGAGGTTAAATAAGGAATGAACTGACAGACAGGATCAGTGGAAGGGAAAGGAGGGGCGCCAGTAACAGGCCGTGAAGGAAGAGGGAGGCGGACACTTCCGAGCCTCTTTCTGTGTAACACCGGGTCTCAGAGCCACAGTGCTGCTTTTCATACCCGCAAATGAACCAGAATTTGAGGAGCGTTCAAAACGAAGTTCAGTAACGAAAGAACGAACTGTAGTCGAATGAGTACTAAACCACATTTCAGAGGCCAGGGAAGAAGTACTGACTCACGCTGCCGTGTTGCGAGGCGATGCTATAAAGCCAGAGACAAGAGGCGCTGCGGCCCGTCAACTTGCGTTTCACAGGCTGGGGTGAGGCAGTGGGAAAAGCTGCGCGACCCGCACAGCGCAGGGCCCACCGGACGAGCGGAGGGAGAGGGAGAAAATACCAAACACTAGGAAATGACAAGAAAGAAGGCCGCTCACCAAGGTTGAACCTGACGCGCTGACTGACGTCCGCCGCCGCCCACGCGGCCCCGCGGCCCAGGCTGCGCGCGAGCGTCTCGGGACGGGGCATGCGCAGAAAGGGCAGGGGACCGTGGTGCAGCCGTCTCCTGGGATCCACGTCTTAGTCACACGCGGTCCGATCTGTGGAGAGAAGGGGAGTAGGGATTAGAAGGACCGTCTTTAAGTCCAGCCTGCGGCAGAAAGCATTTTATATGTGCCTTAGGAATGAGAAAATAAATACACTGTGGGCCGTGGTGTGAGGGAGTTTATTGAAAGGTCACAGAAACCAACTTGAAGGAGCTTTTGGTGGCTAAATCTTGGGTAATTTGAGCAATAACAGTATTGACAATGTTTATAAGCCATTAAATAAAAATACACAATAGGAACCCCTACACATTAGGATCTCAATTGATGTAGAAGGAATGACAGAAAAAAGAAATACCATTAGGCAAATGCCAGAGGAATAATTCTTACAGACAAGAAATGTCTATGGATGCTAAATTAGCAGATAAAGTATGGTGAGAAACCATGTTTTGCACGGTTAACAAGTATCTCCTCACCAGATACTAATTGTAAAGGGAAAAACAGTCATTAGATTTATGGTAGAGAAACCTGGCACACATGACCTTAATCGAATGACCAGAGTAACATAATGAGTAATGAGACACTGACATTATGTAACTTCTGATATGATGCCCTAAGGGCAGATCGTCACTCTTTGGGCTTCTTGTTAAAAGTGCATGATCTCGATGTACTCATAAGAAGTGATCAGACAAACCCAAATTGATAGAAGCTGTGCAAAATAATAACTAGTTTTCTTCTAAAGTGTCAAGGCCATGGAATAAGGGAAGCTGAGGGGCAGTCGGATACTGGATGAGAATAAAGAAATAGAATGACTAAATGCACCATGAGATCTTTGAATGCTGGGTTAGAAAAATAACCAGGAACAGCCATTTCACCAACGTTATTACATTTTTTTGACAGTTGTACTACAAGTAGGTAAGATGCTAACATTACTGACAGTGAGGTAAAAAGGTATGTGGAAATGTTCTGATTTTTGCCACCCTTTATAAGTCTAAAGTTTTTCACCACAAAAAACTAAAAATATGTTGCAGAGGTTTACATTTTCAGAGAAGAAAAAGTCACAAACCTGCTCTTACACAATATCAGTACAGGAAGGGAGATAATACAACTGTGATGCAATGCAACACAGACTGGTGGGGGACAGTGGGTGAGGGCAGAGGGTTCCCGAGGAAGCAAGAGCTGGGATCTGAAAAGGGAGGAGGAGTTAAGGGGGTGGAGGGAGGGGAAGAGACTTCCCAAGGGACGGAGCAGTGTGGGCGCAGACCTGGTAGGGGAAGCTTGGCTTTTGGGGGGAATTGGACAAAGGCTGGCATGGCTGGGGGGAAAGGTGTTGATTCAGGAAGAGGCTGGAGACGAGGGACCAACTTGCCTGGAGCCTTTTGCTTCAAGTGTGAGCTTCCCTGACCAGCATCCTAACTTCCTAAGGCCACCTGAGAAATCTTCCTTGCAGGTGTCATAGTGCCAAAGCAATTTCATTTCCAAACGGGGTTGGCATGTTATTACAGAAGACTTGCCTTTTTTTTTTTACTTTTGAATTAGGATCAGGTAACTGCTTAAGGGGCTTCTGTGTAGTTTGAATCAGACTTGGCCTGGATACTGTTTGCCAATGACCCATTCTTGAGACCTGTTAGTTCGGATTAGGTGTCACCCCAAAGCTCACAGACCTCATCTGATGGTGCTACTGGGAGCTGGTGGAGCCCCAGGAGGAGGCTGGTGGAAGGAAGTGAGGTCACTGGAGGTGGCCTTGAAGGGGACTCCAGAACCTGGGCCACCCTCCTCTCTCCCTGCAGTTTCTATCTCTACCACACACTCCCCACCATGATGCATGGCCTCAGCACAGGCCCAATGTGACAGGGCCAAGGGACCATGGACTGAAACCTCTGGAACTGTGAGCTAAAATAAATATCTCACTCTTTTCCTTTGTTTCTCCAAGGTATTTTGTCACAGTGACAGACAGCTAACACGAGATCTAATAGACTATCAGCTTCATGCTGTGTCTTATAGACCAGAGCCTTTGTTACTGTGTCCAGTTGGTAACCAGTTCTCAATGCCTCACGTCATACTGGTGATTTCCACACACGGAGGACTGGTGTGAGCTTTTTTTTTGTGTGTCTTCAGCTCTCTATTCCCTTTTCTTTCATTGAGCTCGATGAAGATCCGAACCCAGCTTCTCCCTAAACTGCTTCTGTGTGTTATTTCTGTTCATGCCTCAAGTGTGGCCTGACACTTGTCACATTTGTCACGTAGAGAAGTGCTATGAGAAACGACTTTGAAGGCCTTAAATGTCACACATCTCTCCCATCTTCTGTATGTTCAAACCACCCAGTCCATGTTCTTGCCAAAGTACATGGGAGCAGAGAAACCTGAATCGCTGCAACTAGAATTTAGCAGTTTGAGTCCTACCAGTGACCCCAGAGTGCTGGCTGCTGTCAGAAACTGTGTTCTGTGTGTCACATGGTGACCCGTGCTTCCTTATCTGATAGACCGCATCCCTTACTCGGTATTGTCCACTTCTACGTGCAGACCTAGCTAGGGTTGGCTGTCCACTATCTGCAGATGGCTCAGTGCCATGGGAAGCAGGAGTTCTTCCTTGCCTTCTTCCAGAGGTTCTTTTGCAACCTGGGGTCTACTGACTCATGGGGTTTGTGCTTGTGCCTGAAGTTGTAGGTCAGGGTGAACATGTCTGCATAGATGTGGGTTTTATGGAAGGAGGAGCTGTAGCTCTCTTAGAACCTCCATGAGGTAATCCCTCATCCCCTAGGCCAGTAACCACTGCCTATCCTCCTGCTGGCTTGTAGCTGTCTGTCCAGTGGTCACATGTTCCTCTCTACCTCTGGCCTTTGTGATGCCACAGCTGCCTCATATCTCTTCTGAGAAGTTGCTGTTGGACTTATTTTTTTACTGGTATATGGTTTCTATACATAATAATTACTTTATTATGGGGAGTAAGTACATACTTTATCACATCTTAATCATATTTATTCCCTTCCCGATTCCACAAGTCTACCTCTCTTTCCATCATCTCTCTTTTATTTTGTTCTTTCAATTATAGTATTTATATTTTGGATTTCTTGTATAAGAGAAACAATGCAATGCTTGATATTCTGTGTCTGATTTATTTAACAGTACTATGGTCTCAAGATGCATCTAGTTTTCCTATAAATGAGTCAAATGAATCCTTCTTTATGGTCAAGTAATATTCCATTGTACATAGATGTACCACATTTTTTAAAAATCCATTCATTTGTTGATGGGTACATAGGCTGCTTCCAAAATTTAGCTTAAATGAATTGTGTTGTAAAAACATGGGTATGCATATACCACTGTTATATAATGTCTTTAAATCTTTTGGGAAAATACTCAGAAGTAATATAGGTGAGTCAAATGAACTATTTTTAGTTCGTGGAGAAATCTCCACATTGATTTCCATAGTGGTTGTACTAGCTTACATTCCCACTAATAATTAGAAGTATTCCTTTTTCCCACAGCCTCATCAATGTGTTGTTTTTTGAGCTCTTGACAATGGCCATTGTTTGTGGAGTAAGATGGAATCTCAGTGTTGTTTTGAATTTGCATTTCTCTATTGGCCAAAAAAATTCTCTATTGGTCCCTTTGTAAAAAATGAAATAACTGAAGGTGCTTGGGGTTGTTTCTCCATCATTAATTCCATCCCATTGGTCAATATATGAATAGTTTTAATGTACTTATTGGTCATGTACTTCTTTTGAGAAAAATTTATTTATTTAGCTTCTGATTTTTGATTGTGTGTTTTATGTTTGAGGGACTCATTTTTCTGAGTTCTTTTCATATTCTGGATTGTAGTCTTTGGTCTGACGGGTAGCTGACAAAATGTTTTCCTACTTTGTAGGTTGTTTCTTCATTCTTTTGGTTGATTCCTTTGCTGTGCAGAAGCTTTTTAATTTGACATATCCTTTTTGGTGATTCTTGGTATTATTTCTTGTGCAGTTGGGGTTCTGTTCAGAAGGTACTTGCCTATGCCTCTGTCTTCAAGAGTTCTATCTCATGTATCTTCCAGAAGATTTTTAGTCCTGTTGAGTACCTAGGTCTTTGATCCATTTGATTTGACTTTAGAACAGGGTGTGATATAGTATAGGTCTTCTGACTACAGATGACCAGTGTTCCCAGCATCATTTGTTAAAGAGGCAATCTTCCCACAAGCATAAGTTTTTCATCCCTTTGTAAAAAATGAGATGGCTGAAGGTGCTTGGGGTTGTTTCTCCATCATTAATTCCATCCCATTGGTCAATATCTCTGTTTTTCTCCCAGTACCATGAGGTTCTTATCAGTGCAGCTTTGTCAGCGAACTTCAAACCTGGGACTGTGATGCCTCCCACTCTGCTCTTGCTGCTCAGGATTGCTTTGGTTCTGCTGGGTCTCTTGTGATTCTATATGAATTTTAGGAGTGTTTTTTTCTAGGTTGGGGAAGAATTCTGATGGCAATTTGATTAGGATTGCATTAAATCTATCATTTTTGGTAATATGGCCATTTTGATGATATTGGTTCTGCCTAACCAGGAATAAGGGATGCCTCACCACTTTACAATGTTTTCAATCTATTTTTCCTCCAGTATTTTCATTATAGAGGTATTCCTAGTTGTTTCTTTTGTTTTTAATCTATTGTGGATCTGTTTTCCTCATTTCTTTCTTGGTGACTTAATTATTGGTCTATAGGAATGTAATTGCTTTTTGGGTACTGACTTTGTATCTTGCCCCTTTACTGAATTCATTAGTTCTAAGAGTCTTTTGGTAGAGTTTTGTATCTTCTATGGAAAGGATTATGCCATCTGTGAATAAGGATAATTTGAGCTTTCCTTTTTTTGTTTCTATCCCTTTCTTTCTCTTGCCTTATTGCTCTGGCTAAAGTTTTCAGTATTATATTAAACAGTGCTGGTGAGAGTAGACATCCTGGTCTTGATCCCGATTTTAGGAGGAATGCTTTCAGTTTTTCCCCATTTAGTATGCTTTTGCCAGTATGTTTGTCATGAGTGGCTTGTATCAGTTTCATGAAAGTTCCTTGTATATTTACTTTCATCAGGTTTTTATCATGAATGAATGCTGGATTTTGTTAAAGGTTTTCCCTACAAATAATCATGTGATTTTTATTCCTGTTTCTATTTATGTGATGTATTACATTTATTGATTTACGTATGTTGAATCCTTGAATCCTGGGATGACACCAACTTGGTCATGATGTATGACTTTTTAATGTTTTGAGACAGGGTTTTAATATATGACGGTTGACCTTCAGCTTTACTATGTAGCCTGGCTGGCCTCAAACTCTTGGTGATCTTCCTGCCTCAGCATCCCAAGTGCTGCAAACCTTGTTGAAGTGACAATAAAAGATTTATAGCATCACATTAACTTAGTTGATAAAGCAGCATCAGGTACTAGGATTTATTCCAATCTTGAGGGAAATCCTACTGTGAGAAAAATGCAGTCAAACAGCATTGCATGCTACAGATTGATCTTTCATGAAAGAATCAACTGATGCAACAAATTTTTTGTCTTCCTTCAGGAGCTGCCACAGCCCCCTCACCCCAAGCAGTAGCTGACAGCTGCCAACATCAAGGTGAGACCTCCTCTGTAGGCGACCCTGAGCTCAGGTCCTTGCCAATTATAGGCAACCTTGGTCTCAGGTCCCTGTTCAGGACACCACTGTAGCCAGCCTACCCCCGGTCCTTGTTCCAGGACCTAGAGCTGCTACTTTGCTCTCCCTGATCCAGGGTGAATGATATATATATTTTTTAGTACTGGTAATCAAACTCGGGACCTTGCACTTGTGAGGCAGGTGGTGGAACCACTGAGCTACATCCCCGTCCCAGAATGAGGAAGAATGACAGAGACACGGAGTCAGCTTAACTTGTGACAGCCATGGGGCTCTCAACCCTAGTGTGCAGGCAGAGGAGCCCGCGCCCTCAGCTCACCTCGCTCTTATCACCCCAACACGGCACAAGCAGTGAGAGAGACACAGGATTCCCCTGCTTTCCAGGGTCCATCAGTGCAGTGCTGGGGAGCAGCTCGACCTCGGCTGCCTTCACTTTTCCCTCCTGCCCTTCTCCTTCACGCTCACTGAGGCGCGGTCAGGCCTCGGCTTCCTGGCCCTCGACACTCCACCAGCAAAAGGGTAAGGACTTGCTGTGGGCTCAGATGACTCAATGAAGGTATACCTTCAAGGCTATTCTAAATGACAATAAACAGTTTCATTTCTCGGTTTCCAACTAGTATGTAGAGATTCAATTAGGCTTTTTATAATGGATTTTTGATATGTGTCATGAAATTTTGTAAACTCAATTAGCAGCAGCTTCTGTGTAGATTCCAAAAGCTTTCCTGCATTAATGATCATGTCTTCAAATACAGTTTTACCTCTTCTTTTTCAACCTGGGTGCTTTTGACTTCCCGTTTTCTGTCTAATTTCACTGTCTGTAACATCTACTGCAATCCTGAACAGAATGGTGAGAGTGCTGGTCTCCAAGTTGTTTCTCATCTTACTGGAAGAGCGTGCAGTTTTTTCCTATTCTAATTGCTACAATACAGTGAGAGAGGCTAATTAGCTTTCTAAAGAAAAAGAGATTACTTAGCCCAAAGTCTGGTATGCTCAAAGTCCAAATGACTTGGTGTATATTCTGGCCAAAGCTCCCTTTTGGCTATGTCACCTGGTGGCTGGTGGTAATAATAGTACATGTTACAGGAAGGGATCACATCAAAAACAGGAAGACACAGTCACAAGGGTCAGGGTCAGGCTTTTATAAAAACTCGAATTTCTATGTCCAAGCAGGACCTTGGTCTTTAGCTTTATTTTCTTAAAGGTTGGTTCATAGGTCTGTAACCAGCTTTTGTCCACTAGTAAATCACAAATGTGCACACTTGCACGTCAACTGATATTTTTTGCAATATTTGCGAGCATGACAGTATTTTCTGGATTAATCATACTTAATTTTATTATTTTTAATCACTTTTAAATTAAATTTTTCTGTTGCATTCTATAAAAACTCTCCTTTTGCATGAATCTTTTCAGATACAAGAGTCTTAGGGTAAATTTCCAGAAGTAAAAACAGTGAGTCAGAGTGCTACACATTTTAAGACTTCTGGTTTAGGAAATGGGCCTTGAAAACCCCGATAATAACATGGACTCATTTACAGGGTGTAAGTAAGCTGGTTTTTTCAGACCTTTCCTCACAATGAACACAGTGGGTCAGTTAATCCTTGCAGATGATGGATCCATTTCTCCACAAAGATAGTTCATCCTCAACAGGCTAAACGCTAAGAGGCTTTAGAATATCAGGGAGGGAAACATGAAAAAGAAAAAAGGTCACCTCCTCCTAGGTTGGGAAGTCACATCTTTTTGAGGTATTACCAGGAAGGTAAATTTTTGCTGAAAGAAAAAGGAATGATGAAATATTGCTAAAAATAGGTTTTTATTCCCTAACCTATTCATATCTCCAGGGCAATAGGTTAAGTAGGCTGATGAGAAACAATTTTCACACAAGTATTTGGAAGGTAAGTTATAAATTTATTTTTTCACTTTCAGAATGTCAGCATTGGAAGAGCCTCTCAAAAGCAATTAGTCAAATACCGCATTTCTCAAACTGGGAAACCGAGACTGGGCCTGGGGAGGAACTTGCCCAACGTCTCATGGAAAAACAATGGCTCAGCTTGTGGCTGGAGAGAAAATTGCTGAGTTCTGTTAGAATTCTGTCTGTGACCTTTCCACTTAGATCGCCTAAATGGAAGGCTCCCTTCCTCAGTCTATGTTTTTCTAAATCTGACAGGGCCGCTTCTGCAGATACAGAAAATACTTCTTTTGCATTTATGTGTGGTTTTCCTTTCCAGGAGTGAATGGCATCGTTTTTCCATTACATGACATGATAATATAAATTCCTGATTGTGATTTTGATTCAGAGGTACAACGGCCACCACATAAATCCGAAACCAAGGGCCTGCGAGGTATCAGTACTACCTCCGTTATCTAAGTTTGTCTTGGAAAGATACAGAGACTGCAAATACAGAGATATCGGAGTTTGACAAATGTATGAAACACCCACATGGAAATAAAAACGGGGATGGGAGGGACAGCTATCAGGGTAAAAGTAGAGAATCACACATAGACAACTTTGGAGTTGGCCACGGAGCAGCCCGTGGGCTGGGTGAACTCACAGAGGGTTTGGTATGTCCCGAGTATGCATCCCAGAAGGCCCAGATGCTGATCACGACGTCCTTTGAGATGGCCACACAGCTCATGTCCTCAGGTAGCAGGTGGCGATCTCCAGGAGCGGTGGGATGACCAGGCCCAGGGCGCTGCTGCTCACGGAGCCCACCAAGGAGAGGAACGGCTCCAGGTGGGGGATGAGGACAGTGGAGACACCTGGGTGAGAGAGAACTGAGGGTCACTGACTGCCCCTGGGAGGGGTTCTGCAAAACAAACCATCGCCCTGGAGCCTAAGAGTTCCACAGATCCCTGACGAGCTGCTTTGTTGGGATGGGGCGAGTCCCGCCGAAGTGGGAATGTTGGCCAGGAACCACAAGTCTGGATCCCCACTTCTCCTTTTGTAGTTTATCGATCTATGGGGGTTTTCACGCAAAAGCTTATTGGAAGGTCTCCTCTACCACTCATCTGTGACTGTCTCTTCATGTAGAGAGGGAAATTTACAGCTCTAGAGGAGACAGGACTCCTCAGGTCACACAATAGAGGTAAGAACCCATCTTGGAGGTTTGACAAAAATGCGTGAATATGTAAGGTTTAAAAACGTCACAGCAAAAGATGCCTTGCACTGACCCCTCTCACAGTCCTTCCCCTTGCTGGGGACACACAGCCTGGTTCATGCTTCTTACTGGTGCAGCTCTTGAAGTCCTCTCTCATTGAAGTTGCACTGTGGGGGCTGCCTCGATGTCCTGAACCAATGCCAAAGGTTTATCTTTCACAGTCATTTTGACTTTGGAGCAGAGCCAGGAGTCAGAGCGTGCCGCAGCGTTTTCACCAGCCTGCTTTCCCCTGGGTGGCCCTGGGCAGCAGCAGTCACAGTATTTTTTATCATGCCTTGGAAAGACACTCACAAGAGGACTTGTGGAACTCTTCAGGAAGTGGCAAGAACAGGCTAAGTGTGTGGGAAGCCAGGGGGAGTCATTTAAAGGGAATTAATGGCACCACTGTCTTTCAGTATAACACACTGGAAAAAATGTCAACTTTCGTGATAAGCCACACATTATGGCACACACCTACAATCCCAGCACGCTGGAGGTTCCCAAGTTCAAGCCCAGCCTTGGCAATTTATTAATTTGGTGAAACCCACCTCAAAATAAAAATAGGGCTAGGGATATAGCTCAGTACAAAAGCCCTGAGTTCAATGCCCAGTACTTCAAAACAAAACAAAAACATTCACCATTTCAATCACACTTTGTAGATGTCACAGCTAAGGGCTGCCCCACTCCACTGGGTCCACAGATGCTTGACTCTTAAACCTGGACCTGGAATCAAACTTTGTACTGTCTACAAAATATAGCTTCTGTCTACAAGCAAGGATGAATTTAAAAAGAGACAGAACCGTTGGTGTTGAAATCTCAACCACTTACTTTTCTATTTGTAAAGGGGTTCTGGTAATTGAGAAGGACGCGAAGAAGACCACTTTAGGCTGGCCGTCCTCTAGCTCCTCCCTTCTATAAGCACTCTTACATCTCTATCTCTTCTACATACAATAATGATTACATACATACATCATGATTTTCCCAAAAGAGTCTAATTTTGATAATGGTTGAATGAGTAAACGTATAACTTATGAGTTAATTCCATATAATTATGATTTTTCTATTAAAAATTGTCTTGGAAAGCATCCATACATGGTCGCTAGATTTTGTTTCTTTTGTGGAGCTGGGGACCAAACCCAGGGCTTCATGTTTGCTGGCAAATGCTCTGTCACTGAGCCACCTCTCCAGCACAGCAGGGTGGATCCCTGAGGAAACACCACCTCTTTCTGAACTGGCTCTAACATTGTCCAGTGGAGCAGGAGAGGTACTCACAGGATCGCACAGTGGGGACTGCGTCCCCCCGTGCTGGTGGCAGGGACCTTGTTCACAGCTGTCCTACTTCAGGACTTAAATGACTGGAGGGACAGAGAGAGCCACAGCAGCGCCTGTGAGAATAAGCACTTGCTCTGAGCAGACATCGAGGATGCATTCAGAGTGCGTCCAGCAAGGCAGGCTGGAGGAGAGCCTAGGCCGCTGCACAGAGCCCAGCTCTGGACACCACTGAGGGAGCTGGGAGCTTAGGTCTCGGCCCTGCCATGTGCTCTTAGCCCACTCTCACCACTCTGCTGCTTTTGGCCCACCGAAGGCACTAGGTGAGTACAGTGGCCCCTTGACTTACAAACTCACTTCATTCTTGTGGGCTGGTTGTAACTCAAGTCGGTCAACTGAAGGCTCAGGCTCCGCTACACAGCCTTCAGTCTCTCTCCTGTACACAGGCAGACCTGTGTCTTCAGAGAGACTTTGGCTCAGGATTTCTCAGCCCCACACAGGAAAGGATGCTGTATGTTCCTTCCAGAACTCTTCACGGGATAAATCTGTGTCTGAGAAATCTGGAAGCACAATTGGCCGGCATTTGGGTTGTAGCTCAAGACTTTGTTGTAAGTTCATACTAAAATTCCAGTCATAACCCAAGTTGTCGTATGTCAGGCTGGTTGTAGCTCCAGGGTCCACTGTACTTGGCCCAGGTCTGTGCAGCCTGCTCCCTCCACATGGTACTTTCTTCACTCTGCCATCTGCCTCCTGCCTTGTCTTAGCCTCAACATCCCTGCCATGGAAAGGAGCCCTGCACCAGCCCAGGGGAAGTGACGGGACCCGGTAGTGCCAAGGGTGTCCTCTCCTTCCACCCTGAGCTGCGACAAGGCACTTGGACATGCACTGTTGTCACATTCATCACCAAGCGCTGTCACGCTTTCTTTGCATATATTTGCTGATCAACTGGAAGTCCAGAGAGGCAGGAGCTACACCTTCATCGTTATCCATCATGTATCCCTGTGCCTGGGCTTGTAGGAAGTGCTCCAGGAAGGATGGAGGAAGTGGTCACTCAGCAAATACCGGAAATAGGACATGTCATCGGAGGGCCAGCCACCTCTAGCTGTACTGTCCCTGATCTTGAGTGGCTGGAACTACAAAGTCCTTCACCCTACACTTCTTCTACTAGGAATGGTTTCAGAACAACACATTCACAGGTTCCTGGACACTTGGTATAGACTGGGAAGACTCTCTAACACCTCGAACCACACAGGGGTACTGTTTCTGCTTGGACTCGCATTACCTCAGTCTGTTGGTCTGGCCACATGTGCTCTGCTGGTCTGCTCCAAGAGGTACAGGGCTCCTCCCGACCCTCGACTGAGACTTGGTCCCTCTGGTTTAGGCGCCCACTCGTACAGCCTGTCGGACTACAGTTGCTCTCTCCCTTGTGCAATAATTTCACCGGTGTTCAGGGTAAATGCAGAGATTCTGCCAACTTTTGGTTGCCTAGAAAATCATCCCCAGTTCTGCTGGTCATTCTTCATGGGGAACCTTTTCTGATTTCTCTCGATGTGCTCCACAGAAACAATTGCCAGCTCTGTTCCTAATGTTTCCTAAAGACCTACAGCAGCACCTACTGTGAATGAATGGGCAAACAAAGATGGGAAAGGAGGTGGGGAGGGAAGGAGAATGCACCCCAAAACGACCCTCATGTCTTTCACAAATCAGCACTTTGGGGACTTTACAATTAAACACAACTTTATGGCAGAGGACTTGACTGCAATTCATGATAGAGACAATTCAGCACAACGGCAGCAGGCTTTGGTGCCACCCAGCCTGTGATCCAGCCCCTGCTCTGTCCTGCGGCGCTGGATGACACAAATATGTTCCTTAGTTTCTTTAGATCAAGACTGACTGGCCAGGCTGGCAGGAATACTGGTGATGTTAGGACAAGGCCTGGCCTATAAGTGACTGAATGAAGGGTGCTTCATTCTCCCATAAATGGGCCCGACAGTAGAGGTCATGATAACATTTACTATGTGGGTTTTTTAAGCCCACTTTTTCAGTAGGGAAAGTCGAAGTGCAGGGAGATGAAGTACCCTGCCCCCGGTCACAAACAAGACAGGGCCCATGTTGGCAGTGTAGGCACCACTGTGGCTCCCTGCCCTAGACTGAGCAGACCGCCCCATATGCTACTCACAGCTCAGGCAAACCATGGCTGTGCGGACAGACAGGCCCGCAAGCAGCGCCCAGCTCTCGGACACCGGGGAGATGGCAAACAGGGTGATGATGTCAGCCGGGACGTGGAACTGCAGGGAGTAGGTGAAGAAGATGCCGATGGAGTACATCACCTTGACAGACTGGTACAGACTGCAGACAGATCATCAGGAGCACGAGAGAGGAGACGCAGTGCGGAAAGGGCTGTGAGGACTCGCTCAGAAGCTGGCGCTGGCCCTGGAGCGGCAGGATTGGTTTGTATCCCCAGATTCAGGTCAGGGTGCGTGCCAGAGCTGCCTGAGAACTCCTTATGCACATTCTGGGAGGTTCCCTGTCACAGCACACGGCGCGAGTCTGTGCTTTTAATTTTTTAGAAGCTCACGTCTACAAGAGTAAACTTCACAGTAGAGAAGTCCTGTCGTGAAAAGCATTTTTCCCAGCCTGCAATTTCCCTTTCCATAGGCAACCACGGTTTTCCCGTGGCCCTCCAGAAACCATCTGTGTGTGCAAGCTCACGCAGAACGTGGCACACACACACATGCACACATGGGCACACACGCATGCTTATATGCACAGTGGCATTCTCCATGCACTGCTGACCTCATTCTTTTATCAGATATTTCTCGGAGATTGCCCTTTGTCAGTACACACAGATCTGGCTCTTCTATTTAACAACTGCTTCCTCTTCTAATTGCATGGGAATAGTACAGCTTTAAACCAGTCACTAATTCATAATGCTACAAAGAAGGTCCTTGTTCAAATATCTGTGCACATTTAATACACAACTCCAAAGGCGAAGTGCCAGGTAAGAATACATGTGACTTTAAATTTGGACGGCTATTACGTATTGCTCATTTGTGATCTAAGCCAGGTATATGAAGTTCCCTGCACATCAAAACAGTATGTGACGGGCATGGTGGCGCACGCCTGTAATCCCAGCACTCGGGAGGCCGAGGCAGGAGGATCACTGTGAGTTCAAGACCAGCCTGGGCTACATAGTGAGTTCTAGGTCAGTCTCAACTACATAGTGAGACCCTGTCTCAAGCAGGAGGATCTGTGAGTTCAAGACCAGCCTGGGCTACATAGTGAGTTCTAGGTCAGTCTCAACTACATAGTGAGACCCTGTCTCAAAACCCGCCCCCCAAAAAAAAACAGTATGTGACTGCATGCTGGCCTCTGCTGTTGTGGGTTTTTTTTTTGGAGGGGGTATTGGGGATTGAACTCAGAACCTTCCACTTGTGAGACAGGTGGCGAAACCACTGAGCTAAATCTCCGGTCCCATTGTGTTTTTTTTTTAAATTGGCATTTCTCTTATTGTTTACCAGCTTTTATTTATTTATTTATTTATTTATTTATTTATTTATTTATTTATTTATTTATTTATTGGTACCAGGGATCGAACTCGTGCTTGTGAGGCCTTACCAGCTTTTC